AAATTGCTGCATGAAACATCTGGTTTGGGCTTTTTGCTTTAGAGTTTCAAAGCTCTGTCTTCCCTACAATATTACTCTTTTTTGGGTGATAACGTTCTTCATTTTTTCATTTGATTTCTTATCAATATGACTTCCTTAAACAAGTTTTTTATTTATGGAAGAAGTGTTCAAGCTATCATTAGTCTAGTTCATCAGTTTTAAGTTCTCTGATTATTTTGTATTTCGAACTCACTTGGTTTATTTTATGAACTTATTAGGCAACCGCTGTATATAAAGTTGCATCAATTGCTGCTCAAAGTGGTATACCTGTCATTGCTGATGGTGGGATTTCAAATTCTGGACATATAGTCAAGGCTTTGGTCCTTGGTGCATCGACGGTAATGATGGGAAGCTTTTTAGCTGGAAGTGTTGAGGCTCCAGGGGTGTATGAGTACCAGGTATTCTTGTACATTCACTTCCATTCTTTTATTAGAACTGATCTTTGCGGGATTTGTTTTTGTATCAGCTAATTCTGAGGCATAATATTGGTACAATGGCATTTGGTACGGGCTAAACGAGAAACATGTACATAAACGGATGTTGTGGATTAGGGGGTTCTGCTTATATAAACTTTGTTTTCACCGACATGTAACATCTCTTTAGATTGTTTCCCTTAATTGAGTCGCATAGAGTACCTGTTTCCCTTCTCCTCTGTCTTCAAGCATGATCTTTACCTAAATGAAGCTCTTTAGTTATGAAATTCCTAAAAATGTGCTGTATCAGAATGGTCGTCGTGTCAAAAAATATCGTGGAATGGGCTCCCTGGAAGCAATGACTAAAGGAAGTGATCAAAGATACTTGGGCGATAAAGCAAAACTAAAGATTGCTCAAGGAGTTGTTGGAGCGGTTGCAGATAAAGGTTCTATCTTGAAATTCATACCCTACACAATGCAAGCAGTTAAGCAAGGATTCCAAGATCTTGGCGCCTCCTCTCTCCAGTCTGCTCATGATCTATTAAGCTCTAGGGTATTGAGGTTGGAGGTATGGTTTTCAATTTCTCATTGTTCTGCCGTGGTTGATTATTACTGTGCTAATATGCTGTTGGGACTACTGCTTGTGAACTTGTTTAACTTTGTTTATGCGGTTGACTTCAAAATGGCTCTCTTCGTGTATTTGTGGATTAACATTTAAGGAAATAGAATTATTAAACTAAGACAAAGTATATAAACTTGGACTTGCACTTGATTGAGTCATACAATGTTGATAGATGGTCCTATTGAATATAATCGAAGGACTGTCTGGTTTTCACTGGTCGGTGATCTTTATCTTGTCTTTGCCTTCAACAGGCTCGGACTGGAGCTGCACAA